GGGAGAAGTTGGGAAGGTAGCGGCTTGATAAATTTTCGTGAGCAACGAGTTTACGAAGCAAGTTCCGCCTAGCTCGAGCGATACAGCTCCGCGGATACAACTCGAGCCCCGAACAAGACCCTCCCCCCGTAAAGTTTCGGCCGCTCTGGCCGGCCGCGGGCCGCTCGTAGAAGCAAACGCTGACTCGTGCACTAGAAATCTGCACAGGAGGCTAAGAAAGAAGCAGTTTTCAGATCCAGAAAGCTAGCAGAAATTTGTCTGAAGTTCGTCAGAAGAAATGAGCCGGTGAAGTTTGTGAGAAAATGTAACGGAGCTTACTTGTTTTTCTGAAAATTTAGACGAAAGTAGCCGGCGCAAAAATTTGAAAATTTTGACGAAAGTAGCCGGCGCAAAAATTTGAGTAGGCGGCGATTTTCGCCGGTAGCCGGCTTGTTTTGAGAAGGCTGTGGCGTAATGGGAGATTTGCTAGATTATTTTTCGGCTCTGTGGATTACATCTGGACAAGTCAGGGAACTGTTGTAGATTTAACAGTAAAGTAAGTTGATTTATGTTAGGTCTGTAATGTCATTTAATGTCTAGACACGGACTAAATAAAACCGAGTATGTTCCCGAGTTATATACAGCTACTAGCCTAGTGTTAGTATGCGTTGGGTACGCAGCCTCCAACGTAAATTGTGCCTCCCCACGATGGTCCTTGAGTGGTATGGTCCACTTATGGAACCAGTTTGACCAGTTAGTTGCCTGTGTGCAGGGGCCCTGGGTGTGCAGCACGCCAAACACCTATTGATTGACAGACAGTAGAGTCAATAGAAGCAGAGTAAACATTCCAGCCAATGTTGCAAGGACAGTTGAAAAGATGGTGGGCATCCTGATATGGACGGTCCTGAGAACCTGGTTGGTACAGGCTGAACTCCCATATGCAGAAAGTTAGGTGAGAGACACAAGTTTTGGAAGTTGTGAGGTATGGCAGGGGGGGTGAAACACACTGTAACCTGTACCCTACTTGTTGATCTACGGTTTTGTAGCAACATGTGCTGAGCTTACAGGCACAGACACTGGTGTCTTGTGTAAGTAGAAGCTTTGAGGGTTGTCAATGTCGCTGTCGTATGTTTTTTGTCCCATGAAACAGTATTTGATTTTCTGCAAGATCTTCATTTGCAAAGGTTTTGATGGCTGTTGTGTAACTGTGCGTGTGAGGCAGAGTAGGGTAGTACTAGTTACTGATAGAATGACATAAACTTGAAATGCCTGTCGTAGTAATGTACCTTTGACAGAATTTTTGTTAGGACTGTAGTGACTTCTTACAGATTTTGCTTGATTTTGATGTGAGACAAAAAAAAAACATGTTTGATGCCAGTGTTGAGAAAAAGTTTCTGGGAGAAAGTTGTCTGTGGAGAGATTTGCTACGGTAATAGAATATAAAGAGGAATCCATATGTCGTGTATGTGTTCAACAAAAATTCTTTTCCTGTAAGTAACATACGAGACTGTCTTTTTGTATTAGCATGGGCATTTTTGTGACTCACAAAAGGCAGTAATGGTCGGCACATTATTCCCTCAATGGTTTTCTTTGTTCAGTTCTTATGCCCAAGAGGCATTTTCGCTAGAAGCGTCTGCTGGCCATGTTTTTACACAGGTGGCCACTCCGAGCCACTCATTGGGCTGTTTTTGCATCAAGTGTCCCAACATGGTGCATGGCTTCTTTATTCAGTCCCCGTTTGATTAAACACTTGAGATTCCACTATAATCCGAACAGTTGAAGTCGCCAGGATCTTTTACAGGTGTTGAGCTTCCTTCTTGGTCATAACTAGGTTCATTAGTTCCCCATGGGTGCCTCTCACAATAGGACCTTTCCCGCCTTTCCATTGATTATCACTGTCAGATCTTGGTGTCAATTTAATAGAGTCTAACTGCCGCCTCCATGCAGATGGACTTTGCTCAGGTGCCATAAAGCCACGCAACTTTTAATCACTGGGATCAGCTTTGTGTGTTCTATGCAAATGGCGTGGGGCACGGGAGGTTTGTACTGATACCATGATTGCTGATAGGAATCTTGTATAAAAATCAGGCAGGAATGCTGGATGTTTACAGTACTTTCTCAAGATGATTGAGAAACTGTTGTAGTTATGCTGTAGGATATGTGGAGGTGTACAGATCCAGGTTATGGTGGTCGACCATACGTAGCACATGTGTACAGACTAGTCACATATTAATACGGAATATGTCCATTCTGTGACAGGTTTGTGTGTGGGTTGCTTGGGAGAAGGGCGTGATCCGGACTAAACAAGAAAACTGAAGGATTACAAGTCCTGTATTAAACCCATAGGAAGCTATATTCTTTGTTAGACTGTTTGTCCATGAATAGACTGAATGTACAGTATTATATGACCACATTCTTGTTGTTTGTGAAAAAGTGGCCGAATTCGTATGGTAGCAAACTTTGGTATAGGTATGCCATTGATTAGGTGTGATAAAATTGTGTACTGTTCAATTATTGTCTTAATCTCTTTCTTCTCTTAAGATAATATTAGAATAAAAGATTCTGTAAAAGCAATTTCTTTACTTTACTAAGTATGAAAATATTAGGTAATCAAAAATTCTAACTTGCCAACTAATAGGTTTTACATGTATGTAAATAGTGTTGGCAAAAGAAAGACAAAACTGGAGACAGTCAAGGGAGGACTTTTTCCACAGGAATGATATCAGGCATGACATGATGATGGGTTTGTAAGAAAATGGTAAATACCCATCCTTCCTTGGAAATGAAAAAAAGATGTCTGTTTGTGACTTTGTATCTAACCCCATGTTACCCTATGTCCTCTGCAGGTGTAGTGAAGGCGCAGACGGCAGTCCACTGCTGATGTCTTGCAGGAGATAGCAAGACTTCTTCCTGCGGGAGAATTCCACAAGCCTGGCAGTCCGAGCCGATCATGGGCCTGTGCAGGTGCTTACAGCTGCGCCTGCTGCTAGCCGCCATGGCAACAGCTGCCATGGCTGCAGTCACCTCAACCCAAGATGCTACCCCGCAACCAGGAGGTAAGGGTCCTCGTCTTATGTCTTGATATACTTCGCAAGCAGAGGTCTTGTCTGTTTGGTTTTTTTTTTTAAAGCTTTTTTAGACGTTATGTCTGGCTTTCTATTTACAGGATACGGAAAGAAAAGTCAACAAAGTAGAAAGCAGGACAGAAATTCTAACAGGTCCGAAGACAGGCATAACCTCTGCTTGGAGTATTGTCTTGATGCTGTAGCTTTGTTTATGTGGTGCCCAAAGTGCCAACTTGTTGCCTTCTGCATTGAGTGTGATCATTGGATAGCAGTCTTGTAGAAGTAAGCCATGTTGACAACAAATTTATTAAGGCTGTGCCAGAAATGTTCACAAATTCATCAAGTTTGCCTTTTTGGTGATTATTTCAATGAAAGTTGTCAGGTTTGTACCTTGAATCACTGACTCTTACAAGCAGCATGTCTGTTGTTATTGTTCATGTGTTCTTAACTTGTAATTCAACCCTACAAGAGCCTTAACATTCCATTACCATGTTGAAGAAAGGCGTGGCTGGAAATCCTGAAGCCAAACCTGTTATTACGATGATATGCTGACATGATTGTTGTGATTACGCCCTCACCAGTGACTTGGTCAGGTTCACCTGCCTACACGTAGATTTGTATGGCTACTCCAAAAACTCAATCTCTGTTAAAGCCCTTCCCTGCAATTGTGTGAGGTGTGCCATTCATGCTTGCACGAAGGTATAATATCACGGTGTCACTCCTTAGCGTCCAAAATTGTTGCATTGTGCCGCTCTTATAGCGGAACAATGGACAGAATAACACCAAGGCCGACAAGTTCAGCTTGGACTGTTTCTCACATGTGGTTTCATGTGGGTAACCTTTGTTGTGCATTATCCCAGCTGAATCCAGACAATAGCAAAGAAAAGATGGCCTTTTAGATGAATGTGTACAGAAAGCATTTAGTGTGACTAGAACATTAGAGTTGGACTATATCCACAGACCATAGTGTTTATGCAGTATTGAGTAATGTATACGCACTGTTTATTTTGAGATTAAAGCATTTTGTGTTACTTTCCCAGCAAAGAACAGTATATTGATGATAAATGATGTTGGAGTCTGAGAGAATCTATCTTTTTCTGCTAGTATTCTATACATAGCTTTTAGTTATACTACAAAAGATATGTGTATGTGTAGTGCTGCATACCGGTTCACTGGACTTGGATCCGGACTTGTAAGAATGTTTAGGTTCAAGTCCAAAAAAAACTAAAAGTCAAGAACCGAGTCCGGACTTATTACCATAAAAGACCATTTCACATACCCCTTTTCTTTCCAAACCACCTAAAACCTTCCATAGATTGTAAAATCTTTGCTGCAAAACGAAGAAAACATTGCCATCGGGCATTGTTAAGTACCAGCCTCCATGTTACAAAATGTACGTGGCCAAGGTTTCACCCAGACAACATTGCAAGGTTGCCAACATGCAATTTTGTATATGCCATGGGTTTAGGTCCGGACTTGTAAGTCCGGACCTGAACCTAAACCTCTGGACTTGAATCCGGACCTGAACCTAAAATTGGGTTTAGGTATGCATCACTATGTATGTGCACCTTCTCTGGAAGGAAAATTTTAAAGGGCACATTACTTGACAGAGAAAGCTGACAACTGGGTTGTAATGGCCAAAACCTTTTGAGATAGGCAAGGTGCCATTACTTTTGTGTAGGGACTAGAAAATTCCTCCATACCAGTTAAGATGCCCTAATGTTAATCCCGGCCAAAGCTGAGCTAACAGGGATGGCCAATCGTCATCCTGCAGGAAAAGTGAACAGAGTCTGAAGTGCCTTACTTCATCTTTACATCCTTGTCGAGGAGACTGTTTCTGTAAGAGGGGTTACCAAATTTTTTTTGCTAAGTACTTGTAAGTGCCAAGTAATGATAAAAATGTTAAGACGTGGGTTACAATGGGCAGGGTAGACAGATGATCTTCAGTAAGTTTAGAACCAAACTGTATGGTAGTAAACAAAGCCTTTGATCACTTGATGCAGTTGCTCAGCTGTGTTGGTTCAGTTTACCTTTGGCCTTTTCAATGGAAACTTCCATCTGTTTGCCGAGAGTATGGTTATCAAAATGCCAGGCTATGAAACTGGTTTGTTGTCCTGTCCTTTTAGGCACTGCAGGTAATCCAGAAAACATTCTCTGCTCCAAAAAAATGACAATTTCTATGTAGACTAGCCAAATTGCATGAAAATCATTTTAACAGGTGTCCATCAGAAGTGTTGTATCCTCATATATAATAAGAAAGATACGTGCCGTTTGCTTGTAACATGTAGGAGCAACATGTAAACAAAAAGAAAAAGTACTTCATAACAAAATTGTTGCTAAAACAATACTGTAAAAGGTCAGTCTGTCCCTGCCATGCAAAATTTAATAAAGACCGACGTAGGTTGTGTACTTAGGGCTTGCTTCATGGCGTCTCCCTGTGAATGAGCAGATTTTCAAACACAGAAGGTATACACCTACATTCATCTGCTGCCAAAACAAGTCAAATATTATTAGCCCAACAAAGAGGCCCAGTGTCACTCTCTCATTCTAGCTGCAGTTCGTGTGTTTGAGCTGAGGATTAGAGCTCTGTTTGCCTGTAGCTGTGACAGAATCCTGCTCAGGCACAATCACGCAGGCGACAGGGTAAAATTTCATGAGTTTTTAAAACCTTTTACCTGACCTGCCTGTGTACTTGAATTCGATTTGAAGCTTAAAGGAACGTTTTAACTTTTTGGGGTGAAATGTCTGACTGGTATTTGATTCGGCTGTAACCATGGGTTGAGCTCTTATTTACTTGGAATTGTCACTTGCGCAGATAAAACCAGGCAGAATAGTGCATTTGTATATGCTGATCACATTTTTGCAGCAAGAGTAGACAAGAAGTTTATCGTTTTTCTATCACTGGAAAGTAACCAGACCAGAGGGATCTGTATTACTTTCGTAGAAAGTAGCACAGAATTACTAGTCCCTAAAAACTTGCTTCCTTCAAAGGATCTAGAAAAATGATTACAGTGTTTGAGACTTGGTTATTAGAGCAGTTATTTACTCAACGTAGCTATTAACACTGGCAATTACTATCCCAGAAGCCTATGCTTCAGAGATGATGTCATCTTGTGATGTAAACACAGCAGACTGGTTAGTAAGATTTATGATGCTGGAAAAGATTCCAGGACTACAGAGACAGTCTGTGTAAACTTGTTTGAAAGTCTTTCACATTTGGCCACTAATTTTTCTCCGTTGATGGTAGCTTGTAGAAAACCAAGTGTATAAACTTGTTATAAATCCTGCAGGCAAGTGCAACCGGGAAGCATAAACAGATCTTCCAAGAAGAGCACCAAATGTAACATGTTCTGGTAATTCAAGGCAATTGTTTTTGCTAAGCAGTCATCACCGTTTGATGTGTGTATCCTGACTGTTACTCCACATGACTCGCATTCTTCCCCGGGTTTTGTGGTAAACAGCGAGGGTTTCAACACTGCAGAGGCAAACACCAACACATCAGCCGCCGGTCTGCCCTACTCCAATGTGACATGTGACTTTTTCCCTGTAGCTAGGATAAAGTTGAAGGCAAAAGTCTGTTGTGAGTTCATGAAAGTTCAGTTTGAACGAGAGGCAAGTGTTGGTTGTTCAAGCTGTTCCTTAGACAAAGATAAGAGAAAGGTATGTGTTTAGCTAGACAGTTAAGTTATAGTTCTAAACTTCCTCATTACGTACTATCTCTGACGACTATCAAATGGCAGATTACTGCTGGAAAAGGTGGCCAAAACTCCACATGGAATACATCACAGAGAATGTTGGTGATTGTCTCTGATTGCAGCATTCCAGCCATCTCTTTCCCAGAGAGTGTGGTTCCAATTTACCCTATGTAGGTGAGGGATGGGATGTCAGGGAGTTCACCAGGATGTTCCTGCCTAGAAGAGGATGTGGTAGGAAGGATACCAGCATGACCTTAGATCCCTGGAGAAAATTTTTACCTTCAGATGTTTGGCTTCATACTGGGTAGGGTCCCCTAGTCATCACTCCTAGAAGTCGGACAGTCTTTTGAGATGAATCAATCTCATATGACACAGTCTTGGATTTAAATCTGTCTCAGGCCAAAGGAATTCCCATCCACCATGATGTAAGGTTAAAGGTCAAAATCTATTTCATTCCTCGGGTGAAATAAACTAGAATGTCCTGTCTGATGAAGTTCATACGTAGCGTGTTACGATCCTCACAGTTACTGTATGTTTTGACGAAGGTTGTCACGAATCTGAAGAAATTTTATACAGGTGCTGACATATAACAGCAGCAGCTGCAAGCAGGGCATCATGACTTCTACATGAACTGGTTGTGGCAGAGGTTTCCAAGAATGGGGCCTATCTATTTTTGCTTTTCCCTGGGCATTGGCCAAAGTAAACTGGTACCAGTGCGTATGGACTTCAGCAACTGTTGTCATCAAGTATGATATCTTTAGTATGTGTAACAGAACCACTGTATATACGCTACTGTAATTCAGGCTGGTACTTTGAACATAGCATTGTAAACACCAAAATGTGATGTGATAGAAGCAGCTGGGTTGCTGTTGATAAACCTAAAAGGTTTTTGCCAGTGAAAATGTTTGTGCTGGCATCCCAACGTTCCCTCCAGTACTTCAGTGGTTGCTTATCATGAGGTTTGGATGTGAGAAGATTTGTTGCTATGACTGCCTAGAGCAGGGAACAGGCTGGAATGCCAGAGACGCAGTAGACGCTTTGTAAGACAAAACATCTTGGGCAGGATTCGGGAGTAACTGATTACGTCTTAAGGCGATTTTGATAGGGCTAAGAACAGTTGCAAGTGTGTCGGACCAATTTTTCATTTTATTGGCATGTGCGATAGCTTTAGCTTCCTTTATATAACCCTCTTCCCTCTGTGTACAGATAAGCTTACAAATTAGGGACTGAAGGTTTAAAGAGAGGTCTTTGTGAATACCTAAAGATAAAGCTGCTCTCCCAGGGGTGAGTTAGTCC